GAATTTCCTCTGCTTTTCAGAACATGTTTATCTTAAATTTTATCAATATGTACGACCACACAATTAGTGTTACTAATAAGCGATTTTTTTAAATGGGTGCATGTTTTCTTTTGTATTTATAATGAATATTGAATCAGTTGCTAATTTGATCGTGAAAATACCGTATAATTTAATGCTTCGCGTAAACTCTGCAACACAGTAAAATTTTAAATGATGGAGAACTCTGATGTTATTTATAGTTTCAGCAAAGGTAAACCAAATTTACGAACATGAAGAGAGACGAATTCTATTGGTCGGAATTCCTGGTTCTGGAAAAAGTGCATTTGGAAATAATTTGCTAGGAGACAAAGCGGTGTTTGAATCTAAATGCTCAGTAAGTGCTGTAACACGTGAGGTAGTGTGTGGAAAAGGAATATGGAGAGGGAAGCAGCTCGTAATATTTGATACTCCAGGAATCCATCTAAAGACGCAAGGTTCGGAGGTCGATCTTGAAAATAAATTGACTGAAATTATGGCAAATTTTCTCTGGATTCTTAGCCCTGGATTTCATGTTTTAGCCTTGGTAATAAGTCTCGGAAGAATATCGGACGACACATTTTTCCTGCTAGAAGAATTGAAAGAAGTATTTAGAGAGGATTTAACAAAGTACGTTCTTGTTGTATAAATTACGAGAACAGATGAGTGGGGAAAAGCCAAACTTTCCCTTCTCTTGTCGCTGAATCCGATAAATACATTAAAGATCTAGTAGAAAAATGTGACTATGTTGGAATAAATAATAAAGCTGAGGAGAGGATTTGGAAAAAAGAGATATCAATATTTTTTGAGAAGGTGGAGCAAAAAATTGCCAAAAACAATGGCGGATATTATACAGATGAGAGTTTCAAAGAATCATATAGGTATTTTCGGAAGCGTTCAGCTAAGATGGGCCTAGCAGAGATAGATGCAAGGGTAGAGAGACTCCTTCCGAGAGACGTTGAAGAAATATCAAGATCAAAAAGTTCGCAAAGTTTCCTTAGTTTGCTGAAGTCAAAATGTTCCATTTTATAAACTGATTGAGAACAGCAGGAAATGAAATTATTTTTCTGCTCTGAAAATTGAAATTTGAATTTAGATATTTACAGGTAACATGAATATATCTTATCTTAAGATTCGAGGATCTTAAGAGAATCGAATGTTCACAGTTTTAGAAAATACTGTTTAACTTAAATCTCGTTGTCTTCGATGCAATATATACTATTTGACAAAATCAAATTGCACTGAAATGTGAATGAACACTATCTATAGTAATTCAACTATTGTTTTCCCCTTCTTCCAGTTAAGACAAGTTAGGAATGTTATTTCCTCAGACGATTGTGAGGTAAATAAAATATCCTAAGATTAAATCAAGGAACAATTGGGAAAATTAAATTCACGTTTGATATATTACTCAAGTAGAGATAAGGCGGACGTTTATACGTACTTAACACAAAAATTACAAATGGCCAGCCTTCAACGGGATATTATTGTGGAAAGATCAATGTATCTTTTGACTTTTGCGAGAAGTAGTAACTTTTACAGTGGGTGATTTACTTTGATATCTACACTTGTATTATGCATAAATATCTAAATTTGATTTGTAAATGTGGCTATAGTCTTTATATAGGAGTCAAGAAATTTAAACACGATTTCGCGGTTTTTATTGATATGCACTTAACACAAAATATGATGGGAGGAAAATGTTGCTTCGGATTAAAAAAATTATGACTTTAAACTTCTCAAGATTCTTTGAAAAAATCATTCGCATGTTTTAAACAACTTCAGGCTTCAGACCTGTAATTGTAAATATGTAGACGCATGTTAGCGTGTAATCTACCAGACTTTTCTCCGTCAGTTAAGGAACACTGTAGGTGTATAGTTACCTTTTGTAAACAATTTGTCACAATTTGTAAACTTAAAAAAAATATTTATAACTTGTTTTTACTTCTACTATCACCTTGAGCTTCCATAAGCTAAAATTTATGTAGTCATAAGAATGAGTATGTGTTTGATAGGGTTTGGGTTCTTATTGACCATATACATATTTTTTGACACATTCTAATTTTTGGTTACACAATGTGACCATTGATAACGATAATAGTTTTTTTCAATCATTTTGCCACATATTTCATACCATTTGCACATTAACCTTAAAAAGAAAATTAATATGAGCTGTGTTTAAAAAAAAATCATATTTCCTTTTCGAATTCTATTGCGAATGAATGCGAATAATGATAATATCAATACTTAGTGTATTTCGTTCATCACAGTTAAATTTGATATGATCGAGAACCCTAGCAATCGTCGAAATTAATCCATTTGATTTTTGTTTAAAAATTCGATATTTTAATGAATGTCATTGTCTTTGTATTGTCATTGCCAGTTGTAACCTTAATCTGACTGTTTATCAAAATATATATATGTATATATATCTTGTACACAACATTTAATTGGTTTGAGTTATGACGATCGTATTTCACATATTTATTTTTCCAGAAGAGAAGAACTCTATTTGAGTTTCAACATTCTTTTTTTACATCTTTACACTTTTGCAAAACTTGTCCAGACTTTAAGCTTAAGATTTGTTATTATTTTTTAGTTAGATGGTTCTAGGGTTTTAATACTTTTAGTGCGCATTTAATGTGTCAAGACTTTTCAAGGGTTAAAAAGTTTATGACCTTTTGATCTTGACTAAGACTTACAAAAAACTGTAACCTTGGCAAATCTTATGAACAAAAAAGGGCTTTCCAATTTTCTGGGTATACACTTTACAATTTTTACTTTTTATCTTGACTTGAAGTTCGGCCTTTTTCTCAAAATCAACAAAAACAAAACACCTTTACCTTAGGAATGAATTGATATTAAAATATTTTGTTATATACGTCATGTTTGTGCAAAGTTATTTAAAATAGTAAGCATGTAAACTGTCCAGGATCCATGAAATTATATAAAATAATATTTAATATATTTGACGTTCTTGCATATAAAGTGAAAAGGGTAAAGGTTCTTGAAATCAAATGAAAGGTATTGGCACAAGAATCAAATATGTAAAAAAGCACTAGCCCTTACCCTTCAAAAGTTATGTCAAGGTTTGCTTTTTTAAAATTAGGTAATGCTCCAAGGTCAAGGTCAAAAGGTCAACGTTCCTGTCATTCAATGAAGCGTCTTTTTACAAGGACGTCTTTTTACATCATTATAACTAAGTATGAAAGTACAGGCTTTTACCCTTCAAAAGTTATGGCCAAGTTGTGGCCAAGATTAGAAATTTTTAAAAGTAGGTCAAACTACAAGGTCAAGGTCAAATGGCCAAAGTTCTTGAATTCAAATGAAATGACTTGTTACAAGAATTAAATATATAATGTATGAGTGCACTAGCCCTTACCCTTTTAAAGTTAAGTCAATCTTTAGGTTTGCTTTTTAAAAGTACGTCAAACTCCAAAGTCAACGGGTCAAAGTTCTTGGTATCTTATGAAGGGTGTTATCACAAGGATTACATATGTGAAGTTTTAAAGCACAAGCTCTTACCGTTAAAAAGTTATTACCTATGTTTACGTTTTTTGGAAATTTCCAAGATCAACGTCAAAAGGTCAAAGTTGTACGTATCCGATGAAAGGTCTTCCCACAGAAAATACATAAATGAGATATAAATGTCCTGGTTTGTAAAAGTTTGGAATTTTTGTTTAAATGTTGGTCAAACTCCAATGTCAAGGTCAAATGTCAAAGAGTAATATATGATAAGTGTCTCAATTGGCCCCTTAAAATGAATGACGGGGAGACGGGGAGCAAGGTAGTGATGAACGATATAGTGATGATCGAAATTGGGATCTTTCTAATGTATATTTAAAAAAGTAAATAGTTTTCAGGAGTTACCTTCCAGACATTGCAACATTCAGACATATTTTCTTTATACGGACTTTGAGATGTAATAACTCATATATTTGGTGAATTTTTAAATCACTATGTTTGCTTATTCATTTTTTGTTCATTGTACTTATTTTTATGTTTATACACTTATAAATCAGTTTCACAGGAAGGACCATCAACTTTCATTACAAAGTGCCAAGAGCTTGGCGAAGGAACATTTGCTGTCTAGTTTTATTTACTTCGTTCAGTTGCGGCCGAGATTCAAACTCAGGATCGTCCGAGCACGGAGCGAGTACTCTACCAGCTGTGTCACCGTGACGGTTTCCCTTTAAATGAAATAAATTGTTATGCGAATGGGTCTCTCAACCCGCTAAAAATGAGCCGATCGAGAAAAAACAAATATTCTAGATGCCCGTGCAATAGAGTTAGATATACCTGCAGTTATGCATCACCTACCTGTACATTACCATGCTAGGTTAGTTTCTATTATTTTAATGCAGTGCTGTCATTGCTTAGATGGCACCACCGCGTCAATAGTTTAGCTAATTTGGATGACTAGTCCAAGAAAAAAGATAAATAATTGTTTTAGCTTTATAGCTTTTTGGGGGTTGCAAGAGAAATTAAGATAAAAAAATAATTATAAATAATAATAATTTCCTGGATTTATGGAAAGCACATCTTCTGTCAGGACAAATTTAATTAAACACTATGAAATATTCTCCATCGAAAATAACGTTAATGTGTTCTCAGAAAATGCCTGGCTGAAAAGGGCAAAAATGTTGATAGTTAAAAAAATTGCATATGTGTGTTTTACTGTTTGACTTAATTGAAACCAAAAATATGATAAGGACGGCTTTATAATCGTTTTCGGAAAGATAGTTGATTTACCTGGGGGTTTTAAACGCAAAACCTACCGCTATGTAAATTCTATGGCGACTTGTACGCGCAAAATTTACAAGTATTTGAGATTGTCATTGTGTTAACCGTTGTTAAGGTTGTTGCTAATGCTTAGGTTACTATAATGGATTGTTAAATGCATCTTAACCAATCAGATTCTAGTTTTTAACAGGAGAATATATAAAACTTATATCATCTTATCTGACCAAGGAGTTTTAAGTACGTTATTCTTCCTGTGTACACTTGCATAGCTTGTCGGCAGAATGGATCCGGAGAGAGAAAAACATGGGGAAGGTATGTTATAATTTTTGTTTTATTCAAACAAATAATGTTGATTTATTCTGAAATGATTGATACTTAAATCATATTTTAACTATGTTTATCCCTTTAACTATGTTTATCCCTTTTAACTATGTTTATCCCTTTCAGTTTGGGTGTGTAAATATTGTAACAATACAAACCCTTCTTTGTTTTTCAACTGCGTGAAGTGCAAAGCGAAAGGTAAGTTTGAAATCCAAGCACCTACATGTAAGGGATTTACACATAACATTTTCCATTAAAAATTTTGTGGAAAGATCAATGGAAATAATTGTTATTTATACATAATTAGTGATAAGGATAATTTCCTCTTCGTCACAATAATTGTTTTATATTGTCCTAATTAATTTTAAAGATGTTATTTAGATCATATATTAAAATCCATTACTGTAAGTAAAGGCAGACTCTGGTTATAAAAAGCTTGCATATATGAAAGAAAGAAAATACCTTTCAAGATAAGGTGTTGTTTGGAACGTACGACAAGAAACATAATTCACCTTTTCAAATCAATATTTCTCTGCGATTTCAAATTGAATCCTTTCAATCTTAGATACCGTGGTATGATGTTTAAATGGACTTTCCATTAAATATATAGGAGAAAAATAATCTTATGACTTACATTGGCTAGATAGTGCACATTTTTTTTATTTTTAAACACAAGATTTTTGGGCACTTCAAATAAAACTATTTATGGGAGTTTTTTTCCTCTAAATCACCTAAAATTCAAACAAAACGGTTCATAATAATAGTATAATTATAGTATGTATTTTTTGCACATTACTAAATATAATTTGGGACATTAACATTTATTTCATTAAGGACAGAAAATACAGACAAACCTTTATAAAAGAAATTAAATTAAAAACTTTCAGCAATTGCACGTTTATATGAATAAATTGAAAAAAAAAGTTTTACTGCATAGTTTAATTTTTTTTAATTCAAAGTTGCACTTTGATATTATTTGAAGTGGAAAAATGAATAAATTAATAAGAATAGCTGTAGATGAACTAGAATTGTGAACATCATAGAAGGCTTACAATGTCCTTATATTTTAGAAGTTTATCATTTGCATCATTGGCAAAAATACCGTTCACGGTAGCTCAGTCAGTAGAGCGCTCGCTTCGTGATCGCGAGGTCGTGAGTTCGTATCTCGGCCGCGACTGACCTAGTCGTTAAAGTGGGTAACAACTGTTCCTTCGCCATGCGCTGGGCACTTTGAAGTGAAAGTTGCGGGTCCTTCGGATGAGACCTTAAAAACCGAGGACCCGTGTCAGCGACAGGCGTTGGCACGATAAAGATCCCTCACTGCTCAATGGCCCTGAGTGCCGAGTAAAGGTCAACATTTGAAGCCCTTTACCGGCATATGGTGACGTTTCCATATGAGTGAAAAATTCTCGAGAGGGACGTTAAACAATATATACAATACAATTGGCAAAATTATATACTAATACTGGCATTAATTTTTTGTTTGTATAATCTGTCATTAGGTAAGAAAAAAAAATGTAAAAATGTACTCTTTACAAGGCTAACTTGGTTCATGCATTCCGTTTTCACGCAGCCTTGCTTCAGGTACATCACAATACTTTTGTCCTCATAATTGAATAAAATAGCATCATAGTCAGAATAAAGTCAAACTGCGATAATCTGTTTCGCATATTCTTTCTTCCAGTGGGTTTTCTTGACAGTGTGTGTTTTGATTAAATCAACTTTTGTATCCATATTTTATTTTGAGATAAGTGAGTATTATGAAGATATTTATATCACGGTACATTTGAAAGCATAGAGAAGAAATACACAACTCCCCTTCATTTTCAGAAACTTTGTATTGTATTGCCATTTTTACCCCCTTTTCAAAATTTCAATCATTTTTTTGTATGATATATATATATATATATATATATATATATATATATATATATATATATATATATATATATATATATATATATATATATATATATATATATATATATATATATATTCAAACAATATTTCTCGGTCTGATTTTTAATCATTCAACTAGATTTGGCCTTGTAAATAAATTTGTTTTTGTGTAAGTGCAATAGAGAGAATCACTTGTGTACAAATTTCTTTACAAATTATCAATGATATCTTATTAAGATTTCTTACTCAAACTCGAATTTGTACGAGGGTTGTCCAAAAAGTTCGTGGACAATAACGTTTTTGTCAAAATAAATGGTTCTGTGTGCATCAATTATATAATTATCAAAATATTTCTTAGGAAAAACGGAGTCAGAATGGTTTAATTTTTATTGATTGAACTTAATATTTGTGTAAAAATGTGGGTTTTTAAACATTAATGCAGATTGCGCTTATGGACCTGTCTGACGTTAAGTTAATTTCATTATAACGTCAAACATTTGGACTTTGACTTAACACATGTTCATAGACATACACTAATTTTTTGCAAAGTACAATGCGCTTCAAAGTCCTAGCAATAAACATTATGTACAGATTATAATTTATTTATTTCTAAATTTCAAAACAATGCACAAAAAATTTCGAGCGTCATCTAAATAACAGGGATGGGGTCAATTACATAGGAAAGTAATTAATTAAATTACAATTACTTTCCAAGAACCCTCAATTAAATTACCATTACCATTACATGGATTTTGAAATGTAATTAATTAAATTACAATTACTTTGCAAATGTAATTAATTAAATTACAAATTACATTCATACACGTATAAAATTAAAGCTAATAGTCATGTATATTCCTTTACATTTATAACAGATTATTTTACATCATTTTTTTACAATAATATTATTTAAAGCTTCATACATTTTTCAAATACTGTGTCCCATTACCTAATATATCTTCGATTAATTTGAAGATTTTCCTGCCATGCTGAAGATTCTTTCCACTGGGGTATTTGTGAGAAAATTCAAACATGTAGATACTGACTAGAAAAAGTTTACAGATGATTTTACCATTATTCATGTGTTTAAATTTTGGAATTATTTTGCAAACTTTCCGATAAACCAGTGATAGATTAATGCTAAATGTACTTTTGATGCTTTAATTTGCCTTTATATTTCCTTAGTTCAGCATCATAGGTTACCCTAAAAAAGTGGGTATTTGACTTATTCTGTGCCATACTACAATTAAAAGTCAAAGAGTATTCATGACTATAAAAACACCAACAGACAAAGTCAAAGGTGTGAAAAATGTTTATTTAGGAATAAGTAACTATATGACCTCAAGACACTAATTAGCATCTGTTAATAACTTTCAACACAAGCTGAAGATATGGCCAACGAAAGGATTAGAAGCCATGATTGGACTTCTTACTTTTATATGGATTAATTAATTAAAAAATCGAAATATAAATTTCATTTGTAAACTTTATAAAGATTAATTAGAATTAATTTTTTTTAATGAAAAGGGACATTGCATTCAAACAACATAGACATAAAAAGGGAAGGTTTTTTTTAAAAGAAATTTTACTTTTAAAATTTTTGGTCCTAAATATGAGTTGTTTACCTTTCATAAATAATGTTTATGAAATTGAGGGAAAGGAGACTACCTTTTTTTTTTATTTAAAACCAGTGTAATTGAATGTAATTGAAAAGTAATTGTGAATTACATGCTTTTTTGGAAAGTAATTAATTAAATTACCATTACTTGTAATTGAAAATTTGGTCAATTACACATTACTTTCAATTACTTCGAAATTTGTAATTAATTACAGTCAATTACCATTACACATTACCATTACCCCATCCCTGCTAAATAAACAGTTTGTATACACAAACTGAACATCCGAGTACGACGCTGCGCTAGTTTTATAACAACGTCAAGAATAGACATCTCCATTTTCTGTAAATTTGATGCGTTTTTAAATTCTTCTAGAGTCATCGAATTTGGACAAACTGTTAAAAAATCGTATAATTATACCAATCTGAAATTGAAACACTAAATATATTTCAATAATTTTGAGTTGTTTAACAAATATTTTGTCATTTACGTCGTTTCAACCGTATAAAAACTGATCATTTTAATCGGACGCTGACCCTTGCGGCTGACGTTGCTTTTTTTGTCGAGTTTTGACACATATTTGTTAGGATTTTTGTTCAGCATTTGTACTGTCTGTATAGTAAACGATACTTAAGATATCATAAAATGATTATAGCCTCTTTATTTGTGTTACATAAAATGTTTATTAATTTTTGACGTGTTTTATATAGAAAAAAAAAATCATTTTAATCTAAACACGTTATATTAGAATTTACCGGTATGCCATTTAAACCTCGGTCCGTGCGCACTATCCGCGACCTTTAAAGACCCCGATTTGTACAAAAATATTAAGTTCCATCAATAAAAATTATATCATTCTGATTTGTTTTTTCATAAGAAATGCTTTGTATATAACAGATTTATACAGAACCATTTATTTTCACAAAAACGTCATTGTCCACGAACATTTTTGACAACCCTCGTAGTTATGGATGGCATTAATTGATCCAAAATGTACAGGAAAACAATTTAGTAATAACAATAGCAATGTTTAAAGCGGTACTATGTTTCTTTGAATGTTCTGGTATCATATTTTATTATGATATTCATGCACGTCTTGAACATTCAAGCGAGTCATGCGTCATTCTTCAGTGTCATGAATTGCTTACAAAATCCGAAAAATGATGAAGTCTTTAGACATTTTCAGGCAGTATGGATTAAAGATAAGGTTAATTTTATACTAAATTCGAAATATTTGACAAAGGTGTACTGTCGCACAAATGACTGTATTAGAATAAAAAGCTGTGCAAAGTCATGCGCACTCGAGTTAAACTCGGCCTAGTTAAGAATTTGCACGAGCCTCCACGGTTAAAGAAAAAATCTCTTGGAATGCCTACTTTTGTCGAGTTTTATTGATAACATACAATGTGCTGACATTTACTTTATCGCTCCTTTATAACCTTTCACTTGCATGTGTCAGTACTTATCATGGCTGTCAAGGATAAAGACTACTAGTATGTGATGTGCAATTTTATGGAACGCCGTAACTGCCTTATGTGGAGAACTTTCATTATATGATGGTATTTTATCTTTATATGATGGTATTTTATCTTTATATGATGGTACTTTGTCATTATATGATGCTATTTTATCTTTATATGATGGTATTTTGTCATTATATGATGCTACTTTGTCATTATATACTGGTATTTTGTCCTTATATGCTGGTATTTTATCATTATATGATGGTATTTTATCATTATATGATGGTATTTTGTCATTATATGCTACTACTTTTCTTCTTTATACTACTTTTCTTCTTTATACTACTTTTCTTCTTTATACTACTTTTCTTCTTTATACTACTTTTCTTCTTTATACTACTTTTCATTATATGCTACTACTTTTTCGTCATTATTTGTAGTCTCGATCATCCAGACGCCTGTCTCTATAGCACTAATTCGCAATCGCATCATCTCGGGTCTTTCCGTTAGAGGTTGGAAAAACAACCTCAAATGTATTAACATCACCGGATGTTAAAATTTTATACATCTTCCTGTTTATTAAAATATAGGATAGACTAATTTAGAAGCCCCTTCTATAGCTAGTATATTCTAAGTAATATCATTACATTGAAGTTAAACTCCATATTCCACAGATAAAAGGTCTCCATGCATTTATTTCAAAGATCGTAAAAAAGGAGGGTTGTCATGGGGTCTACCATATACATTAGAGGTCCTTTTTTTCGCTAGCCGGAAAGGCCCGAGAAGTTGCGATTGCACTAATTCGCTGTACCGCGATTCTCAGTGTAAGCGTCTAGGGAGGGGAGCAAGTCAAAGCGCCCCCTAATAAAAATAATTTTATAGAAAAAATACTGCCCCCAAATATTGGTAAAAACGTCCCCTGATTTTAGTAAAAAACAAGAACAGAAAGTATTTTTGACGAACGCCTTGATTTAATTCATGTGTGAAATAATATGCTCTCCCACTCTCGTCGCGGGTTGGAATCCCACCGCAGGACATGGAGACCGACCCTTGAGTTCCCAAGCCGCAGTAGGCGCTGGCACAAAAAAGATCCCTACCTGCTCAATGACCCTGAGTGCCGAGTATAGGACAAAATTTTTCTCCACTTGAAAGCATTGGCGTCTCCATATGAGTAAAAAAAATTCTCAAGAGGAACATGAAACGGTATACAATCAATCTCTTCAGGAAAATGATAGGGCCGTTTGTTATCAGAATGCCCCTTATTAGCAGACATAATTTCAGAAAAACAGGAAAATTTTTCTATGGTCTTTTAAATTTAGATATCGACAACATACATCTACGTATTATCAATAAGCAACAGTTACTTTCATTCATATGTCGACTCGACATACCATGATCATGAAATTGTTCAAATTGTTCAATAACAAAGACGAAAAAACCTCTGAAACAAAAAAGCATTCAAACCATCTATCTGATCTGAACTGTGTATTGGGGGGGGGGGGTTAAAGTATCTAGGTTTAGATAAATCCGAGTTTTCCGTCTAGATTTTAAGAGCATAGACCATATTTAAACAGATAAAGGGCATTGAATGCACAATAGACCTCCTCCCCTAAAAAGAAAAATAAACTGACACCAATGGTTGTAAAAAGAAACAAAACATCTTGTGATCTCGTGTTTCTATTTTAAGGGGGGGGGGTTAATAAAAACCTGATTTTTCTTCTAAAATGCTAAAAATATCGCTCATGAAAAGGAACAATTACAAAATTATTAAATAACAATCACTTATTTAATGTCATTTGTTGTCCAAAGTGATTTTTCTTGTGCATGTTTTGTAACACAAACATGGAAATATGGGAACAAAGTAATCGACGTTATCCGATAAATCACAGCGTAATGAGGGAGAATTTGTATTTTTTATCTGAAAAGTTTCACTAATATTTAGTCTATGAACAAAAACATGTTATACAGTCATATATATCATTTGAAAAAGGGGAAATTGTCTCTCAGGATCAATAAACAAGTCAAAATGTCAAAATTTTGACTTAGGGGTGGTTTTCGCTTGATGGTCATCATATAATGAAAAGTAGTATAAAGAGGAAAAGTAGTATAAAGAAGAAAAGTAGTATAAAGAAGAAAAGTAGTAGCATATAATGACAATATACCATCATATAATGATAAAATACCATCATATAATGACAAAATACCATCATATAATGATAAAATACCATCATATAATGACAAAATACCATCATATAAAGATAAAATACCATCATATAATGACAAAATACCATCATATAATGATAAGATACCATCATATAAAGATAAAATACCATCATATAATGACAAAATACCATCATATAATGACAAAATACCATCATATAAAGATAAAATACCATCATATAATGACAAAATACCATTATATAATGATAAAATACCATCATATAATGACAAAATACCATCATATAAAGATAAAATACCATAATATAATGACAAAATACCATCATATAATGACAAAATACCATCATATAATGACAAAATACCTTTATATAATGATAAAATACCATCATATAATGACAAAATACCATCATATAAAGATAAAATACCATCATATAATGAAAGTTCTCCACATGAGGCAGTTACAGCGTTCCATACAATTTCATTTTTACCTGGTTTTCGTCAAGGAAGTGGTATGCTTTTGATAGTAAATAAAAGTCTGACTAATAATATTAATAAAGTTAGTTGAAGGAAAAGCAATTCATTTTGCCTGCATTCGCCCGTATACGTATCTAAAGCATTCAGGTATGAAACTATGTAACAGTACGCGGAGTCTATGGAATTGTGGACATTTCTTGAAGGAAATAAAATCGGATAGTTTCGTGCTCAAGCAATGTTCTTATCATTTAATTTCTATAAAAATATATAATTGATTCTGATTGGAGAAATAATATTTTGACAACTGCAGCAAACAGACAAACAGACAAAAAAAAAAAAAAAAAAAAAAAAAAAAAATCTGGACTTCGTCATGCACTTAGCAGTGGGAACAACAAGTACTTGAAACGAAAAATTGAAGACTTTTACTCTAATAGACATTTTCCAGAATTTTGAAACTTGTCTGGTACTTTCCTGGTTAATTTTCTGTATTGTTTTTTTCTTATTATCCTCATTTGCTAAACAAATCAGATCTTTTTCATGACAATAATCTCCATGGAGTTATAGGAAAAAAAGAGAGAAATCAGCATTCATAAATAAAATGTTAGACTTTAAGATAATTGGTGTGAACAAAAGAATTGGGAAGAATTAATTGTTCTAATGCTATCAAAGCGGAATGATCTAAAAACAAAATACACTGCATGAATGAGAACGAAATTCGTTGATCATTAAAAAGCCAACAACGCAAGAAAAACAATAAAAATATTTAATATCAAATTTTGATTTTTATACTGATGAAAAAATATTAATATAAGTATATTTTTATGAATATTTTTTTTTTCCTTTCCGTTTCCATAGTACCATATACACATGTATAATGGTTTGTTTACGGCTATACTAGTATATTACATGCATTAAACAGACCTTCTACATTTGTACATTTGGAAATAATATAATTTCACTTGTAACACGTCATTTGATTGGATAAAAGATTTTATTCCTTTGTATAACATAACTTGCCTACGTCACAATGAGGTAAGTCAAAAAACGTATTACTCGGCTTGAAGTTACTTTTAAAATTCAATCAATGTGAAGCCTTATTCTGAGGGGGGGGGGGGGGGAATTGTCTCATTTTCTGCACTGAAATTAAATTAAAAGAAATGAAGCTTATTTCAACTTATATTATACGATATAACAAAACTCGAGGCAGTTGACGCTTTTTCATAAAACGCTTCGCGGTTTATAAAGCGTAAACTGTTCCAAGTTATGTTATATCGTATAATTTAAGTTGAAATAAGCTTCATTCCTTAGACAATAATTGAAACAATAATTGAACCTTGCTGGGATTGATACTCACAATGACTGTGTGGCACTATGGACATGTCGGAAAAAATGCATTTTATCGTTGGACTCTAAACTTGTTGAGTAATATTAACTTTAGGGCATTGTGTCATATTAACAATTTCACGTTACAACTTATTCATGGTATCATTGATTTTTAACATACAAATTTTGAAAAACAAAACTCATGGCGGTATTAAAAATCGGTATTGAACAGCAAATTGCTTTAATTTATTACTATTCACTGTATGTTAACCTTAAAAGATGAATGCGTTAATGATTGATAAGAAAACGAAAAAATACAACAAATGTATAACCAAAAATATCTTTAAAATATGACCTTTTCAAAGAATTTTACGCAACATACATGTATCTATAGATAGAACTAAGCTGTGGACACTATTTTTTCTTGAGGAAAATAGCGCAATATTTCCAGATTGGTAATATTTCATGCTGTTTTTAAATAATTTATTACATTCATATACTCATATCATATTTTAGATAATTCTATATTATTTTAAAAATTTAAATTTAAAGGTCACAAGAAAGCCCAACCCATAATTTGATTTCTTCTTTCAGCAAAGATTAAACTGTGTTAAATGCACATTTGTATTAATGTTTTAGAAATGACAGATAGTCGTGTGATAAAAGAAATTATTTTCTAGATCATTACTACATTTGTATGATTCATAGAGAAAAAATAAAACAACAAGAGTGGTGGCTAATGGGCTCTTTCGGAAATTGATCTTAATGAAAATTATTCACAAAGGATTATTCAATTCTGCATATTTATTTATGTATCTGATTAAAAGCATTTTATATTTCCATGAATAACGATTAAATTGTATACGAAATTTGATTTTGGAATTTGATTGTACTTAAATGTTTCATTTTCTATAGAATCTTCCAGTCAAAAGATGACAAGTGACACATTCATGTATTGTAAGTCATTCGGTTTACTTTAGGAATGACTCTAATTCTTGGCCAAATTATTCGATTATAACCTGGTTTGGGTCAGTTTACGCTTTATAATCCGCGAAGTCAGATGACCGCCGGATTGTTTTGTATGATCTTCCTTGTTGTAATTGAATGTTTAACATCTTCTTCTTATAATTGAACCTATTTGTATCATCAATTTTTCATTTATTCTGCTAGTTTTTTTTTTCTGTAGATATTGATATCTTATGTATACTTTTCATGTTAGCCAATGGATGTATCCTGCATGTTCCAGTGTATGTTTAAAATAAGTGCATTTATTCTGTTTAATTTAGTGTTTGCTCAAAATAAATTCATTTATGCTCTATAATTCAGTGTTTGCTTAAAAGTGGATTTATTCTGTATATATTTTTATTTCAAAGTAATGGAAATAATTTAAATTTTGTAGAGGATATTGAAAAAATTAAGGAAGCACAACGTAAAAGAAACATTTGTAGACGTATTTTGCTGGTAAGTCTACCAGGAAGTGGCAAAAGTTCCCTCGGAAATAATTTGTTAGGACGCGAAATTTTTGAAGCAGCGTGCGCGGCGAATGCCGTAACGAATCCGTCATGTATGGGGCAGGGAAGTTTGAGGAAAAAGATATCGTTGTGTTTGACACCCCTGGAATCGATCAGATGGCCGCTGGTACCGATTCGACATATACGAAGTTGATAGAAATACTTTCATTATGTCTTTGGTCTATGTGCCCAGGGTTTCATGCTGTAGTCCTTGTAATAAGCGTTGGAAGATTTACAGTTGAAACCTTATCTCTTTTGAGAAATATCAGGAAGATATTCGGAGAAGACTGTATGAAATTTCTTTTTCTTGTTTTTACAAGAACTGAAGACTTAAAAGAGGAGCAAAGTTTGGAATCCTTCGTTGATACCGCCGACGAAAGTGCAAGAAAGCTAGCAAATGAATGTGGCTACATCGGATTTAACAATAAGGCTGATGAAAATGAAATGAAACGACAAAAAATAGCTTTTTTTGGTAAGGTCGATGAAAAAACTCGAGAAAATAATAGTGAATTTTTCACAAACTCGTATTTTCAAGAGATTTACAAAGTTTTAAAGGAAGAGGCAAAGAAAAGAGGTATAACTGAAACAGAAATGAGAAAACAGGACCCTCCAAAAATAATTAGAGATATAACGAAAAAACAGGGTGGATTTTGGGAAAAATATTGTGTGATTCTATAATCTTATGAGGAAAAACGCAAATATAAACAAGTCCACTTTACAGTTTGGACACATCGAACAACGTAGATTTTTGTGACTGTTCACTTTAAAGACAAAACTGTTAACATTTTTACCATTGCATATCCTATATATTTAGCTTCAGTATATATGTGACATTAATATAAAATTGCAAAAGTTAAATTGTTTGAACTATAATATATATGACATTAAAATAAAATTGCGAAAGTTAAAATTGTTTGAACTTTAAACAATTATATAATTAGCCAAATTCCACCTTTACTTTAATTTTTCTTTTCCAAATTGTTTCTTACATACACTGTATGTTCTTTGAATTTGTAAATTTTTCATTAAAAATAAATCACTGTGGAAAAAAAAGCCCTGAGCAATTATATATTTATAGAGCGAGTTTGAATACCTTGCGTCATTATATAATACTGAATCGTAGGACCTAATCCTTTTTCAGTATGTATAATAAGGGGCAAAATCATTCATTGTTTTAAATACATTGAACCACATTTGGATTTATTAATCTTTAATTTACTTTTCTGTATAGAAACAATAAATTCTATAGATACTATATTTTTTAAATTGTAAATAATGTTACAAGCCTGATATTACTTGTAAGTTTAGTTTAGGTGACTTGTATTTTCAACTAGGATTGAAGGTAGATTTCTTCTGATTGTATAGACGATCGGAATTGTTTATATGCAGATTTGTAACAATTATTCTTGTGTACATTAGGCCAATGTTGGTCCAACATCGGGCCAACATTGGGCCGATCAGCAAAATGAAATTGGGCCAACATAATTCGGCAACATTGGCAATATGTTCTTGATGACGTTGGGCCAACATTGACCGTTGGCACGATGCTGGGCCATTATATATGTAAAAATAACACTTTATATTGGGCCAACGTTGGTCGACATATTGGCCCAACATTGGCCGATGAGCAAACTTAAATTGCTCTGCTATGCAAAGGAAGTTTGAATTCATAGTGCACTGTGTTGGAAGTTTAATTGTGACAACATGAGATATTAAACAAGTAACAAAAATCAAATTAACTAAAAGATGGTGCGTAAATAACAACTAAAATTAATTTATTTTATCAATTATTTATAAATTCTAATAAGATTACAATACTTAATAACAATAGTGAAAGAAGAAGGTATATATTTAAGAAATAAAAAACGATTATTTATTGAACATGGCGTTATGAATAGCAATTGCTCTGCTGGCATATTCCATGATGCGCGCTAGTGCATCATGGAAAATATGCCAGCAGAGCTATTGCTATTTATAACGCCATGTTCAATAAATAATCGTTGTTTATTACTTATATTTGCAGGTTTTTTATGTTGTCAAGAATATCAGAGGAAATCCTGGCTTACATAAGGATGTGGCTTGTTTGTCTTCAGTAAAGAAAAACACACGACTATAAAATTAGTTTACTTGATCATTGCACCTTTCCTCTGATAAATCACAAAAAATATATAAAGTATTTGCCTCTTAAACACATTTATCTGGATACAAGCTGCAGCATCGTCACATTCACATTTTTGTTTCGATGAAGTTGTGACGTCATCGATCAACGTTATTGAAACCCTCGGACAAAAAAAAAAAATCAAAAATTTAACCTTATGATAAAAAAAGAATGCTTTAAAAATGATTATAACTCAAGAATGCTTTTTAAGATTTTCTATTTATTTTTAAGAGCTGAAATCGTTCTTGAAATGGACATACTATTTTGCTTTTTCTGAATGTGTATCACCCAAGTGTGAAGAGTTATCGTTCTTTGTTCTGATAAGCAAAAATATGATAAGAAAAAATAAAAATATGGCAGTTCTCTTCAATTTTTTTAAAAGTTTTACTATAAAATTAAATACAGTTACCAAAATTAAATTTTGAAAGATATAAATTAGCAATTTTAAATTGTTCTGAAGTTCTATTTTTCCAAAAATAATTAATAAACATTTATTTTCATTCCTTTTATGAAACATTTCATATATATACTTCTCAACACGTCACATAAGTGTAGTAGAGCTTGCACTACACACAAGTGAATGAGCAATTGCTCTCATAGCAGAAACAGCTGCGTCTGTAGTCCTATGAATGCAGTTGATGGCAACACGTTCATAGTGGAAGAGAGCAGTGGATATGCAAATATTTAAATATGACTTCACCAAGCTTGACACTGAGGATATCACTTTTCCAGAGGTGTAGTATAATTCAAAAAATGCTGAAGTAGATGTGATATCATCGATATCTTTTTTAATGCAAATCATTGAAAAAAAAGAAAAAAAGTTAATATAATCAGATAATGAATTCATCTGGCAGCATTGGAACTTCACAGGGTTAATGAATTTAAAAATATCGTTAGAACGATAAGCGTATACTGCAGTATATGATTCACATCAAAAGTACTTTCGCTCGTCTGGCATAGTGGTTAGAGCATCTGCTATATATTTGCGAAGTAGGGAGTCAATCATTGCATCGCAAGGTTGATATAATCCCACTGTGGGAAGTGCACGTGGTCCTTCGGATGGGACCGTTTAAACAGAAGTCCTGTGTCACAATAGGGGCTGACATTGAAAAGATCCCTCCCTACTCTATGACCCTGAGTGCCAAATATAGAACATCTTTTGCAGTTCTTCACCGGCAAGTGGTGGCGTCTCCATATGAGGGAAATATTCTCAACAGAGGCGTTAAAAATATACAATCAATCAAATAAAAGTGCAAGGGATGAAGAATGTTTTAGCCGGAAATTGGATTATTAATTGCTTATTTCTATAATGATTATTTCGAACAGTGCTGAGAGCTGATTCTGGGCTACGTATCATTATTATATGTATACTGAAAGGAAAAAGAAACGTAGGGTAAACGCTTGAGATGAATTAAATTTATTTTTCCTATAATATGTTTTAGCATTCCTATATAACTTTTAAGATCATCTTTCAAAAAGATAATACCAAAATCCCATTTGATTTTGTCCAATAATTCATTAGTTAAGGAAGCTCATATGACGATACCCCCCCAAAAGTGAAAACCAAAAACTCTCATTATCTTCAATGTCTCCCTCGTGCTTCTGTCTGTTTTCCTCATTTGCATGTAGTTTCATCAGAGAGTTTATCTTTCAAACCCTAGCTATATTGGGCATGAGTAACCGCGTAGAAAAATAGATCAAATGAAACGCGCATGCACCAGTGAGAGGAATACAACAGTAAGTTGACAGGCTCAGAAAACCAAATTGCGGAATTATTCTATTGCAATTTCTGTGTGAATGTAATGATTATAATAGTCTACTGCATAAATCGCAGTTTTTATGGTAGTAGGGTGGCGATTTAGGAGATGGCAGGACGAATAATTCGCTCGTAATATGGCTCTGTTTCGCGTTAATGTCATCGTTACGGTTGATTGAAAACCATTACAGGCCCTCTCTGACAACGGGTAACAAGTTTTATGGGAGAAAATTAACAAGAAACTGCTTAGTTACCCATTGTTGCCTATTTCATTAAATAGGCAATTCGAAAACAAGACCCCATTGAACTTCCGTTAACCGTACCAAGATTGGAAGATATTCATGTTTTTTTTATAAATATTGAAAAACGATAGGTATACCTCAGGTGCATCAAATAATGCAACAAGATTTCAAACTAGTCGTCATCAAATTGCACTGGTTTTTGGCTTTTTATCGCTTTCCCTATGTGACGTCAGACATTTTAAGGTTGAGTAATTCTGAACACTGATTTTGTTCCATAGTAACTAATAGTTTTTAACAGAATTTATTTTTTTTTGCTAGCTATTGTATGGATTTTGGCAAAAATTGTCAGTCCTTCCCAAACACTATAAACTAAGTCCAAGAATTCTTTAGGTAGAGAAATTAAACATCTTTCAATATGTATCTTTTTTTTCATTTCCTACAATCAGCTTAACAATTATATTTTTATTCCAGTCAAGAGACCAGCAGATGGATGCAATATAAATGGATACTGAATAGCTCATCAGCTTATCCCAAGGCCTATTCAAAATGGATATTGACTTTACTTTTATTCATGCATTCAGTTACTTTTTTGTGTTTATTTTTAAAAAAAGGGATATGGAGATAACGAACAGTATTCAATCTCAAAGTCAATTAAATAATGTACAAAATCAGAGCAGGGCAAATACGGACCTCCGAAACATCAGAGGTGGGATCAGGTGTCAAGGAGCAGCGAGCATCCCCTATCGACCGTTCATACCCGCCGTGTGCTCCTTGTTATGATCAGGAAATAACGCAACAAATCCGCCGTCAATTCTGTGTATAAATAAAGGACTAACAATTGGTGTGAAAAAAGTCAGTCAGCATTTAACTCAATAATTAATTGTATTTGCTGACAAAGTCATTGTATCGACCATAGAACTTACAAAATGATGACTTTAATCGTTTCATCAACTTCTTTGTTAACAATCTATAACTCGTTTTAGAGTCATACGTAGAGCATGCTCTTGTGTATCGAATCAGATGAGAAATATATACTCCGTATGTAGGTCAAAAAGTAAAAAAGTAAAATGTAATACTAGGCTATGTTAAGGAACGATATGGAAAATGTGATATTTGCATCTTTTGTATATTTATTACTTCTTTAAAAAAAAATAACAAAGCAAAATACATGTAGAAAATGAAATATAGCTATTTATTATTATAGTAATTACCAGTTATATCGCATGTATCACCTGTTTGTCACGTGACTTGAATAAAAATAGAATTGTTAGGGTGAATGTAAAAAATGAGGATAGTGATACGTTTTCTTTTTCAGGAAAAAAAATCGATACATATTTATATACAGTTAAAGTATATCATTGAGAGAGTTAACAATATTGCAGTTCCCCAAGACCAGGACTATTTTCCGAGGCACAGCGCGCCGAGGGAAATAGTCCTGGTCGAGGGGAACTGGAATCTTGCTAAGCCCCTCAATGATATACTTTTAACTGTTTCCTTATACCGATACAAATTCTAAATTGTAAAGATTACATTTAAAAAAAAAATTCCATTAACAGATTGACTAATCATTACTCTAATGACTGAATAGAATCACAATTTATATTTATATCACAATTTATATTTATTGAATTTTAATAACAATTTATTAACAACAATATTTTGAGAAAATCAACAACTTTAAAAGTCCTTGAAGTAACACAATAAATCAAAGTTCTGAACAAGATAAGAGTTCACTGTTACATGTACATATCATTTTGGAAAATTAAATGTTATTTGACAATTTGCAAATTTAAACAAATTGTTTGTGGATGACATGTTAGCAGATGACGGTTCCAAAGGCTCCAGATCCACTTCCTACATTTTCAAGGCTAAAATCGTTGTTCAATATTTAATTGATTAGGTCAGAATCTAGGAAATCTGTGGACACATTTTCAGAAGGAACTGCATTTTCTGAATTTGACAAAGTTTTAGAAGTTGCAGAAATGTTTTTACATAAGATTTCGGACATTTCCCTTGTTTTTGCCTCACTAAGTTTGGAACTGTAGGATTTGATTGAAGATTCGCAACGATGTCCACTTAGCCCCATTATGTGCCGTGCCTCCACTCCCTCGTGATCTAGGGTTGTTATGCTTGTAGCACGGATACAATGATTGGTATATATTTTACTTAAGATAGCTTCTTTACTTAAATTTGCCATGAACGAATAAAGTATGTTTTTACCAACGGCTGTATTCTCATACCACGATTCTTTCTCTTCATATTTTCTCTTCATTGGGCGCTGCCAGAAATTTGGGTTTTCAGGGTGAAGCTTTCCAATATACTTTTTGAAGGAGAGTACTGGACAACGAGGATCACCTGTAAAATAAAAATAAAAATAAAGAAACATAAACAAACACTTAATCCTTAATTCAAAATGTGATTTCACAAAATGTTTCAATACTACGATTTGAATTTTATCAAAATTTTATGGACCCCCCCCCCTTTATAAAAACATAAACATAACAAATTGTTTTACTCACCAGGTTTGTCGTACATCCTGCCCTGTTTACTTGACATATCCTGCAAATCGTCGCCTCTGTGATTTTTTGTTTGACGTTCCTTGACAGTTACATATTCCCTTCCAGTTGAATCCACCGAAACTGTAAAGTCAGTTTTTTGAAGTTCACGGAGATTTTCTCTCCCACGATTGCAGAAGTAATAGATAAATTCAAACATTGTTTTTTTTCTGCAGATTTTCTGGATTTTCAATGTTGAAAACAGTCTCGTATTCATATCCTCTTGTGTGAGAGGTTCCTTCGATTTCGGTTCACCAACACCAGACTTTGTTAGATTTTGAGTCTATCATCGTTTATAATATCTTCTTTTCTCACCTTCAAATAATGTTTTTGTAAACCGTATCGCAGACTGATCATAGACTTCTTCGCGTATCTTTCTCCATCAACTTTTTTCATCTCGGCATAGAATTTTCGCAGGAAACAATTCAATTCACTCGCAGGTTGTTTCTCAATTTCCGATAAATCCGGGTCTTTTTCACGTGCATAGTTTTCTAGGAAAGACAGCGATGCCTTTATAAGTTTCTTAGTGTTATGACTATCTTTGGAATCGAGCAGATTATCCAGTTCATTCTCGTCTAATGTATCAAACCGCTTCGCCATGTTCAAGTCCTCTTGTCGTCTGTAAACATTAGAAAATCACGTGACGCGCTGGCTAAAAGTTTATGGAGAACAAAATCTAATTTTCCTCTTTCCAAAAAGTGCTGGGAATTAGTCTTTGCTGTTTGGGAAGCACTGAAAATTTTGCTGAAAATGCTTATAATAGCTTCAGATTTTCACTTTGATTAAATTCTGTTAATAAATTAATGCTATGCAGACCAGGATCAGCTCCCAGCACTTTTCAAAACACACACTATAAAAGAAATAAATATTTCATATTTCAGCATAAACAAAATAGTCTCTGCCCTTGCACTTTTGATGGATATGGAAATAACGAACAGTATTTAATCTCATCGTCCTTTAAAAAAATATACAAAATAAGAGCAGAGTAAACACGGACCTCCGAAACATCAGAGGTGGGATCAGGTGCCATGGAGGAGTGAGCATCCCCTGCCGACCGGTCACACCCGCCGTGTGCTCGTTGTCATAATCAGGAAATAATGGAAAAAATCCGTGGTCAATTCAGTGTATAAATAATGGACTAACAATTGGTATGAAAAACGTCAGTCAGCATTTCATTCAATGATAAATTGTATTTGCTGACAAGGTCATTGTATCGACTATAGAAATTACGAAATGATGACTTTAAACGAGACTGTTGATATTCTTGTGACATTAACTTGCTTGTCAATGATTTACCTCGTTTAAGAAATTGTTCATACGTAGAGCATGCTCTTGCATACCGAATCAACTGTGATATAAATACTCCGTTTGCAGGTGATGAAGGTATATTTCTGCATAAGTAAGGGAAGTTGACGATAGAAAAGATAAAGTCATCACGTTTATCATATAGCTTGGTTGTTAGATTACCATTAGTGTCTTTTTCAAGTAAAATATCCAAGTATGAAGCAGAAGTGTCGGACTCTGTGGTATCTTTTATCTCAAGCTCACCAGGATATATCGTGTCGACGTAGGAATGGAAATTATCATTATTAATTGACAATACGATATATCTAAATGTCGAGTTGAAAGCCACAGCAAGTGTTTTCTTCTTTTCACGTAAAAGATTTTGCATAAATTCTGCTTCATATGAATATAAAAATAAGTCTGCTAATAACGGAGCGCAATTTGTGCCCATGGGAATTCCAATAGATTGTTGGAATACCTGGTCTCCAAAAACCACATAGATATTGTTAATCAGAAACTCAAGCATCGTCTTGATGTCAAGTTCAGAGTGCTTATGTGTGCGATCAAAATCTGTTGTAACAAAATAAGTTTTCAAATGACCAATGGCGAGGTAAGTAAATTTACGAGTTCCACTTTTGTTGAAGAAGCAGCTGTCAATGATATCAAAAAGCCTGGATTTTAATTTGTCGTGGGGAATTGTTGTGTATAAAGTTGAAAAGTCGTAAGTTTTTAAGCTGTTGATTTTTGTAAAGTCTTGTGATTTCAAATTGTCCAAAGGTTCTTTAGAATTTTTAAGTATCCACGTCTGATTTACACCTCTTCTTGAATATATAGTTGTACAATACTCTTGAAGTTTTTTCTTCACTACTTTCAATATTTTAGTGAGAAGTAATGAAAGAGGCTTGGTTGAACATTTACTGGAACCTGCAATGTATCTTTGTTTGTAAGGAGTCTTATGAAGTTTCGGAATCCAATATATATACACGTAAGGTAGCTCAAACTCATTTTGGCTCTGTTGAATATTAAAAGTATTCAAAACTAACAGGTGATTTTGAAGAATTTCTTCCTTAGAAAGAGTAGTATATGTATAAGTAGGATTACCACTTGTAGAATTAAATCCAAGTTCTTCTAAAATGCAATTTATATAATGAGCCTTACAAACGAACACAATGTTGTTACCTGCTTTGTCGGCAGGAACCAGTACGTACTGATCGTGTAATCTATCTAATTCTTTTTTCACTTCACTTACTTATTGAACACGGAAGGATATATGGTTTTCATTTTGCCCCTAAATCTCTTAATACGTGACTTTAATCTTGGATCTGATACATTTAATCCATTCTGACAAGGTGTCAATGTCTTCTTTTTCATATCTGGCCCATCGTGTGGCATAATTTTCAACAGAATCCATAATATTTATAAAATTTCGACGCCAGTTGAAGGATCGGGGTTCCCTATATTTAGGACCTTTTAAAATAAGTGATGTAAGGTTCTCATTACGAACTATTTTTACGTAACCTGTAATAACGTGTCCAGCAGGACTATTGTTATACATGTAGGGCGAAGATGAACATGAACACGAAGGGGAAATATTTTTCAGTTAGTCGATATCCAGGCCATGTAAAGCGTTTCTGTAATTGAAAAGTTTGGAAGGAATGGTCGAAGTGTATTTGTAGGGAATACAAGGGGTAGCCTTTAACTTGAAATATGGTGGAATACAAGACTGGACCCTTTTGTGATTAAGAATATCACTTATATTAACCGCATAAATTCCTTTATTGGCATATTGAAGTTTAAGGAAAAGACGGATTGTTTTAGCTGCATTTTCTTGCGTGAAACGTGCGGGTTTAAAATACCTATGATACGCAATATCCATAATCACAGAACCGAGCCTTTATTCAGGTGTCGAAGAATCTAAAATTGGATGTTCCTTGGCCTTTTCAAGAAGACTTTTTAAAAGTTTCAAAGGGAGAGAGTAAAGTTTTGTTCGAATATGATGTAGACCTAACTGTTGATTTACATAAGGTTGAAATGAATCAAAAGAGACGTCGTGTATTGTAGGTTTATTGTACGAACGATGTCCATGACTACGCTTACGTCTCTGTGTATTGTTAAAAAGTCCCATAACATTTATATTATTACACTGCGGGCTTGAAAGATTTCCAACACTATCGACATTGTCATTACATCCATAGGGAAAGGCTGTCCCTAGTTTCCTAGTTGCCATTTTTCCCAAATCATTATTAAGTTTAAAAGATTTTGTTTGTATCAATTTACTTTTACAGTACGGCATAAAATGTTTACACATAATCATACTTTTACATGCATGTATTGGCAAACATGGGGCTAAACAACATCATGCACGACAATATTTCATTCAAATGTTCTACCAATACCAATGCACCCATATTATACAATTTATGTATGTTTATATCTGTGACTCTTATTACTTTCTTGTTTACACTTCTCCTACTCATCTCAGGTGATATTGAAGTGAATCCAGGACCTACCTTATCACCAAGTGTCTCATGTTCAATATCCACATGTAGTTCATCAACAAATACTCAAAACAACACATCATTCGACCCAAATAAATTTACTTTTGCCCATTTAAATGTACAAAGTCTAATTCCCAAGATCCAAACACTTGAAGCAGAATTTTACCATCATACCATCCTTTCGTTCACTGAAACATGGCTTCACGAAAACAATATTAACTCAGACATCGAATTACACAACTTCCAATCTCCATTCTGTCGTTGTCGAAACTCGAAAACGGGCGGGGGCGTGGCAGTATATGCCTAGGACAATATTTTCGCAAAACGCCGAACTAACCTCGAACCAACCACGGTTGAGTGCGTTTTAATGGAACTTTTTATGGGTGGCCAATCTTACCTGTATGGAACCATTTATCGACCCCCAAACTCTCCTGTATCTATATGGAGTGATATTGAGAACTCCATAGACTTAGCTTATAACACTAAAATAAGTAAAATAATTATCACAGGCGATTTTAACGCAAACTTACTGACCAACAATTATCAATCTGATTATCTCGTCAATATAATGGCTATGTACAACATGACCCAACTAATTGAAGAACCTACTCATTTTACCGAAGAATCTTCTACACTTTTGGATGTTATTATGATCAGTGATAATAATATTCTGGAAAAAGCTTACGTTGGCGATTGTTTTCTGGACCAGAACGAACGTCATCATTGTCCTGTCTATGCGTTGATAAGTAAATATAATCAAATATCTCACACATTTAAACGCGAAATTTGGTTATTCAATCATGGCGATTATGATTCATATAGAGATAACCTGAATTCGGTTGAGTGGGAAGAAATACTTTCCGATTCTGACATCGACATCAATGTTAAAAGATTTAACGAAACAATTATAGAGCATGCTAGAAATAACATTTCCAATAAGATAGTGACAATTAGAAAATCCGATCCTCCTTGGATAAATAATGCAATTCGAAAACTTATACGGAGACGGAAACGATTACATTCAATCGCAAAACGAACAGATCACCCTGACAAATGGTCTGAATTTAGAAAAGTAAGAAACCAATGTATATGCACTGTTCGTAATGCTCGCGAGGACTATTACAAAAAGCTATCAAATAATATATTCGAGTGTAATAACTCAAGAAAGTTTTGGAATATGGTAAACAAAATATCCAACACTCAGACCCGAAACGACTTACCTCCCTTAGAGGTTAATGGTAGTGTTATTGACAATAATTTCGATAGAGCAACCGCATTTAACAATTTCTTTACGAACCAGTCAAAGATCGACGATTCATCAGCGAGTCTTCCGCATACTAGTATATGTAATAACAATTTCGATTCTGATTATTCTGAAATAATACTGACTGTTGATGAAGTTACTAACGTTCTTCTTTCATTAGA